AGTCTCTTAACAGTACTAACTCGTTTAATAACTTTGACCATTATGCAGGTAAAGATTATAAAATTTTCTCAAAAATGGACAAAAGTGTGTGAAATACTGTTCTATTATCTAAATAGATAAAAACAACAATAAACAGGTATGAAGTACAAACAAAAATAGACCACTATCAAACGAGTTAACTCTGATAATTATAAACCACAAAACTGAGGACTTCTCTATAGTTCTTTTGTGACAGATTACTCTTTATTAACACGAATCTCACTGGATCCAAACAGTATTCTGGAGGTGATAAATTTGGATATTTAGCTACCGGAGGGGCAAGCAATATCAGCTATAATTATGTAGTAGTCAAATATAGACCACGATATTCCAGAATGCGAAAAATTATTTCCACGTTATATGGTGAGATTGTAACGTCCTACACGAAGCGCGCTGGAAACGTGGTTAGGCCTCTTCACTTGACCTATATTTGTGCAAGTACCAAATGTGCCTAATGGTTACGGACGCACTAGACTGTTCCTGTTTTCATGCAAGCGGGCAGCTAGCACTAGTGGTTTAGGAGTGTTGACGTCCCTACCAGCTGCCTTTTCAAGGCTGACAGGGACGCAGGGGATAAAAAATTATTGTATCTTTGTGATGACCATGGTTTATTATTCCTCCTATTGTCTGATACTAGTTGTGTCCTTGTATGGGTTTCGTGCATATTGCATTGTGGGTTAGTTCCCAGTGGCCTTGTACCGTGTATCTGGCCAAAACTTGTTTGTGTGCCATACTCTGAAGACCCTGAGTTGTTGGTAGCCGACTATTGCCACTTGTACTATAATAATAATGTATTCTCATTTTTGTACATGAGGGACGCCAGTTTATTTATTTACTCCTGTTTGTGCAGGAACATACCAATTGTACAGGCGTGGATAAGTTATTATATAAATTACACATATTTCGATGTATGGTGAATTTACAGTTCGTTCGTTCTTTCTGACATTAGAGTCAGTCGGAACAGTCTGCAAAATAGTCAGTCTGTGTAACACATAAAGAGATATAGAAATATTGTCTTCGCATTAACAAAAAACCCAGACTTCATATGAATATAATACAAATATCTGGGAAAAATAAAGCTTGAAGTCAATTCTCCTATAAAACTTTGTTGTGAACAGCATCCGTGAGATAAAGCTTATTGATGTATTATTTTGAGTCAATATTGTATTTATTCCATTTTTGTCAGCAGTAGTATCGTAGTTTTATAATAGGAAAGAAATTTGATCTTTGATACGAAAATTAGATAAGGTTATGTTATTCAGTGAGTGGTTTGCAAACTACAGTTTAGAAACGCACATTCCTGGTGAAACCGGGCCCCTTACTAGCTCTTTCCTCGGAAGCATAGTGTTCACCAATCAATTAATAGAACAAGCAGATAAAAGCCTGAAACTTTCCACTAGCACGGGACCAGATGGCCTTGCTTCTATAATTTTCAAGAACAGTGGGTGTGATATACCCCTACTATTTCTTAAATTCTTCTCAATATCTATGGACACCGGCACTTACCCTCATGAGTGGAAAACTAGCTTCATAATTCCACACTATAAATCCGGTGATAAGGCAAACGCCCGCAATTACAGACCCATAAATATAACCCCGGTTGTCTCTCGAATCATGGAGAAAGTTGTCAAGGATCAGTTGTCAGACTATCTACTTAAGGAAGATCTTGTTACAAGGTCTCAACAGGGATTTCTCAAAAGTAGGTCTTGCGTTACTTACCATTTCGACTTTTTCAACTGCATCAATAGTAGTCGCGAAGCACGTCAGCTAGTCGTTGTTCTCTTCTTTGATATACCTAGGGCATTTGACATGGTATTTCACGGTATTCTCTTTGAGAAGATGGACTCATGTGGAAATCGCAATCCATTACTGAACTGGTTAAAATCGTTTCTAAGCAACAGGGTACAAATAACCAAAGTCGGATCTGTATTGTCTCATCCTAGGCAGATCTCAATTGAGGTTGTGCAAGGTAGTGTCCTAGGGCCACTTTTATTTACAGTATACATTAACAGCATTTGCAACTGCTTCACCTCAGGTAAACCATTCCTATATGCTGACGAACTCAAAGTCGTTTACTCCTGCTACGCTAATGAATTAAGCGGTATGGTGAATAAAATAAATCTTGAGCTAAGTAGTCTCGCAACATGGTGCACTGAATCCTGTCTTAAGTTTAACATTGACAAATGCGGCTGGATTTGCATCGGAAACAGTAACCTTGACCTAAATCTTGAAATATATGGGCGTAAACTAGCCAAGCTCAACTCAGTCGTAGATCTCGGTATCAGATACTCCAGTAACTTAACGTTCTCTGAACAAACTGATTATGCCAGACGTAAAACACGAAGGCTCCTAGGATGCATAACTCGCAATTTCTTTTGTTGTGAAGCTAGGGTTTTATTATATAAAGTATGTGTCCGACCTATTTTAGAATACTGCCCGTTTATTCTTAGCGGACTCAGACAAAATGACAAGCTTAAGTTAGAAGGAGTGCAACGGCAATTCACCTTAAGAATTCTTGGTTTAGAAAGTGGTCTCCAATACTATGAACGTTGCGACAGACTAAGTTTAGAACCACTCTGGAAAAGACGTCTTAAGCTAAACCTGATTTTTTACTACAAGCTAACTAATCTGCTCGTGCACTCCTCCGAGCCAATAATTAAACCTACCGCTGTCATCAGTTACAATCTTAGAAATCATCACAACCTAGTTGCTATAGAGCATTGTCAGACTTACATGCGGTATAATTTCTTCTTAAATAAGTTTTCAGTCATTTGGAATAGACTACCAGCTGATGTGCGCGATGCAAACACACTCGCAGTGTTCATCTCCTCAGTCACCAGACTGCTCAAAGATGACAGTGCACTTCTGAGTCTGAATCCTACACCCTCTTTTTCGCCCAACATAGATGTTTTAAGTTCATTAAACGTGTAGTTACAACAAACTACAATTATAAATTTTTATATTATTGGAAGTACATGATAGACATTTTTACACAGGACAATAATATTAGTTCACACAATATAAAAGTTAGCATCACGGGAATAGTTAGTTAGTGCACCAAAATAACTATAATTACTAAACGGAATATAAATGTATATATACATATTCATCACTCCCTAAGTACTCCACTTGCTTTCTTTTGAGTTGTTGTTGTTTGTCTTCTTTTGTCTCTCACCATTTCAGCTTCCATTTGACTTTTTGAATGAGAATGAAGAATGTAGATATTTGCCCATTTACAATGACAAATGATCTGCAAACATTATTGGTCCCATATCTTACAATTTCCTCATGAATTGCGCATCGCCAACACCAACGACGCAACCTGAATTACAGTTGTGAAATATATCTTTATAACAATAAAATGTATTGATTTATAATACTTCACGATTGTAACTTACAACATAACTGATCTTGTCTGCAAAATAGCTTCCATTTCTTGAAAACACCCGTTTATAAGAAAATACAGACTGTCATTATTATTAGTCTACATTGAGTACTATTCACTTGTGATGTTACGATGCAAATGCTGACAAAAGTATACAAGTGTATTACTTATTTTAAATTATTATCAAATTTGGATATAAATCAAGAATAAGACTCGACGCCGTACACACCAAAGTTATATGGAGGAATTACTTCAAGCTTTATTTTTTTCCCAAGTATTTGTAATCCATCCAAAACATAGTTGGGTTTTATTGTTAATGCGAAGACAATATTTCTATATTTCTTGATGTGCTCCATTGAATGACTAGTTATCATATTGTTCCCATAGACAAAATGACTGCAACCTTATAATTTTACCATGAACCAAATTTATGTAATTTAAATAATACTTATCCATGCCTGTACAATTGGCGTGTTCTACACAGGTAGGAAAAAATGTATTTTATTAAATTACTATTATTAAATATGTTTGGTAATCGTATATGTAATTTATCATAATGATGATGCCTGTAAACTGGCGTCCCTCATGTACAAAATGAGAATATACTATTATTTATTGTTTCACTGCATCAAATGGGGCCGAGGTCAATTCTAGAACTATCCATTTGCGCCATTTGCGTCAGCATGGCAGACTGTACATGTAATTCATTGAAAACTGCTTGAAAACCAGTTGTTTCTTTATATCAGATCAAGAATACTCCTTATACAGAATGTTAGACAGCGTTTTCAAGTGGTTGCATGGGATCGTTCATGGAATTTGAGTTTGAATTTACTTAAATGGTCATTTCAGTTTAGATGTTGGGTTGTTCGACCTCGACCAGGAGGTATATAGTAGAGTAATCTCAGCAGCAGTATAGCAGAAAGATAAAGTATGTAAAAATGAAGAAAACATTGATATTTTATGTATATATATAAATGTTTATAAATGTATATCATTGTATAGTAAACACTACCTATAATCTAGTTGTTCTTTCATGTATTTTTGCGAAGTCTTAAGGTTTATTTATTGTCATAATATTTAGTAATGAGTCTAGGCGTTATAGTGTTCTAATAGCTCATGCGTTTTAGAAATAAGTGCTGCGGTGTGATTGGCATAGTCGTTGGGATGAAACAGTTTATATAGCAAGCGTCTGAAGGTTATGGTAGAGTGACTGGTCCTTATTTCTAGGGGTAAACTGCTCCAGATCTTAGAGTACATGACTATGAAGAAGTTTGCACAGAGTGCTGCCTTACAGTTTTTCCTAGATACTGTGCACGTTTGGTTACGAAGGTTGTAAGAGCCTTCCGGTGAGAACTGTATCTCCTTACTGTCTGAGAATGATATTTTATGCAATATTTTAAAGAAGAATGTTAGGTTAATGCTCAGTCGTCTCATCCAGAGTGGGTCGACACCTAGAGTTATACACCTTGATGTGTAGTCCTTTTCGCAGTCAAATCCTAGTAGTTTAGACGTGAAGTATCGTTGGACACTTTCTACTTTAAGCCTGTCACTTACTCGAGTGCTGCTAAGAATAAATGGACAATATTCAAGTAGTGGCCTGACACAAGATTTATATAATAATAGTTTCGCTTCGTAGTTGTGGAAATTCCTGAGTATGCATCCTCGATTTACGCGTCTGTGTTGCCACTTGCTCAGAAAATGTCAGGTCACTAGAGTACCTGAGTCCTAGGTCAACAACACTTTGGAGTTAAGGCAAGTCAATAGATTCAAGTACCACTTTGATACTTATTGAGGGTGCATCGAGACAGATCCAACCACATATTTTAAGGTTGAATTTTAGGTTCCATGTGGAGGACCATGCAGTTACTCTATCTAGTTCTTCCTGAACGGCTTTCTGAAAGTATCCTAAGTCATCACAGGGGAATTTGTAAGCTACTTTAAGATCATCTGCAAAGATGAATGGTTTGCCAAGTGAGAAACAGCTGCATATGTCGTTGACATACAGAGTGAATAGGAGGGGGCCTAAGACGCTACACTGAACTACTCCAGAAGTGACTGGACTAGGCTTAGAATTTACAGAACCCAGTCTAACTACTTGGGACCTATTGTTAAGGAATGATTCAATCCATCCTAATGATGGGTTACGTATTCCTAAGGAGTTCAGCTTATTTGTAAGAAGTAAATTGTCAACGCGGTCAAAGGCTTTGGAGATGTCAAAGTAGATGACTAGTACTAGTTGTTGTTTGTCACGGCTGCTAGTTATATAGTTAAAGAAGTCAAGGTGACATGTCCTGCATGACCTGGATTTTTGAAATCCATGTTGGTTGGGACTTAGAATATTGCAGCTGAGCATATGTTTGAGGATATCATCTTTAACTATTCTTTCAATGATTCTAGATACTATGGGTGTAATATTGATTGGCCTATAGTTGTTGACTTCAGTTTTTGATCCGGATTTGTGTTTGTGTACTACAAATGTGGCTTTCCATTTATCTGGATAGGTTTGGCTTTCTAGGGACATTGTAAAAATCTTAAGTAATAAAACGGAAATGTCAGAACCACCGTGTTTATAAAGATACGACGGTATACCGTCAAAACCGGCATTACTAGAGCTTTTAAGAGTATCAATGGCTTGGTTAATATTAGAATAAGTGAAATGAACTGTAGTGATTTGTTTCAGCGTTGAAGAAGAAGGGAGTTCTATTGTAGATTGTAAACCGAAAAGTGGACTTGTGGTCTTAAGGTAGTTAGCTGCAAACGTCTCATTAAACAGTTCACACATGTCTGCATGTTTGCTGTATAGTTTGCCCTTGTTTATAAGGAGAGAAATTTTATGGCTTTGGCACTTCATTCGTTTGTTTAGGATTTCTGTGAGAGCACCTACTCTGGTGGTGCTGGCTAGTGCGGTGCCTTCTTCATTTCTCATACGCAAGTTATGAGCTTGCGAGATGGAGCTAAGAGTACTAAGTATTGACCTAAGTGTACTAAAGTCGTGTCGCCTGAAGTAACTTGTTGACAGTCTTATGAATGACTTTCTATGTGGGGAAAACTTCAGTGTTTGAAGTGGGATGACAGCATCTAAGCATGTGTTCGAGTTATAGTAAGAGATGTCTAGAGCTTTCGAGAGGCGATCAGTATAGAAATACTCTCTCCATTCTGAGGATCTTAGCATTGATTTCACTAGAGCCCAGTCTGCCTTACTATAGTTCCTGTATGTTATTTGTTGTGAAGTAGGGGTATGGGCTGCATTGCTACTAGACGGAAGTGGCAGTGCACACAGCACTGTTTTGTGGTCACTCTCTGAAAACTCAGAACCTACTAGGGCAGAAAGGGGACTTATATTGTGGCAGAAGATTAAGTCTAGTACGTTATTACCTCTTGTAGGAGTTGTGACAGTCTGTTTCCAGCCAAGTATATCCACTGTGCCTAAGAACGTGTCAAATTTAGTTGGGCCTGTAGGTATTTCCCAGTTGATTTCTGGTAAGTTGAAGTTTCCACATAGGATCTTGTGATCGTGGTGTAGGGTGGATAATTGATCCAGTGTATTAATAAGTTGGGTCTCGTAATTACTAAAGGTACCAGGTGCTCTGCAGGTGCATCCAATCAATACTATTGCGTTATTTAAGTGTAAGTTAACCCATAAAGTCTCAGGCATGTTAAGTGTAACACTTTCTAGCTGTGATACAGTAAGTGGATTCAGAAAGTACATAAGACAACCCCCTCCCTTACCGCCTTCCCTGTCACACCGAAAGTGTGTATAGTTATCTAAGCTTATCTCTTCATCCAGTATGTTCGAGTTACACCAGGATTCAGTGATGACAATTATAGGGGGTTTGTATATTACTGTGAGTGCTCTGAGCATCGGTAGTTTATTAAGAACAGATCTAGCATTTATGAGGATCAGGTAAAGATGAGAGTTGAAATAGCGTTTGAAGTATTTAAGTTCATTAATCAGCCCCGAATGTAGTTCAGCACGCAGTAGTACTGTTTGACATGACGACCCTATGTTAATAGGAGTTTCAGCATCATGTTCACCTATGTCTATCGAGTTGGTGTGTGCTGTTTTCGGTGAAGAATTAAGCGTTGGAGTGCTAGATTTGCTATAGGCTAAGGCATTTTTATTTTTAGTTAAGCCAGAAACGGGGGTAGGGATCTTCATTTAACCTAAACTTGTGCATGTACCAGGTGTGCTTAGTGGATGCGGGTGAACTAGACTATTCCTACATTCATGCAAAGGGGAAGCACTAGTGGTCTAGGAGTGTTAACATCCCCACCAGCTGTCTTTTCAACGCTGACAGGGACGCAGGGGATAAAAAATGATTGGGACCTTGTGAAGACCATGGTCTATTATTCCACCTATTGTTAGGTACTAGTGGTGTTCTTGTAAGGGTTTCGTATGTACTGCTTTGGGGGTTAGTTCCCAGCAGACGTGTACCGTATATCCGATCAAAATTTATTTGCGTGCCATACTGTGAATGCCCTGAGTTGTTGGTGGTCGAGTTCTGACTATTGTCACTTGTACTCTTGAGGGTGGCATTGTTTTGGCGTTGGTTATCAGTGTGGGCCATGGTGCTATTTCGCACGTTGTGGGTGCCAATACTATTGACCGTGGGGAATGTGGGCTTACTCATACTGCCATTGTTGTTGTTGGCATGATTTGGGGGCATATTCTTCTCTTTTTTACCAATGGACTTATGGCTAGGAGAGGACAGGGTCAACTTTCGGGGGATTTTGACATTTTTCTTGGATTATTTAGTGACATGTCTAAATCTACGGTGGTAGGTGGTATAGTTTTATTGGCTATTTGATTACAATTTAGCGGCCTTTCGGTTGGTGTCGCCCTCTGAGAGGATAATTCTGTGTGGTTTGAGAGGGGTGGTGCGGTGGATTCTACGGTGTCTCTCAAAGGGTTGGGTATAATTGCTGCTTGCAATGTCCTATTGTTTATTCCACAATTAGACTCAGTGTGATAATTATATACGCGCCTTTCTATGACGGTCTTGTCCACCGCAACCTTTATTAGTTTGTAATTTCTGGCTTGCGATAGGGTGTGTTGGGAGTGGGTATATTTTCTGGCCTCAGCCGGTGTTTCGAACTGAAAACGAATAGGACAACACTTTTCATGTTGACTCTTCTTCAGCCTGTAGCACTTAGTCTTGGAGTTGGGCATTTTCGCCTCACTAAGTAAGATGCGCTGTACCCTGTTTAGTGCCTCATTGTCCCAAACGTTGTATACAATAGCACTCAGTTTTGAGTCGAGTCGTTTTGTTACTTCTGTAGTAACAAAGTTAATGAGGTTATCCACCTTAGATACCGATTCCGTGTCAAGTTTGTTAAGGTCTACGGTTCTCATGAGGATAGTTAAAGGTGTCAGTTCACGGACCTGCGATCTGATATCGCTGATCTGATCTGATAATTTGGATATTTTGGTATTGGTATCAGAAATTCCTGGATTTACTGATTTGTTGTTTTTTATTTCCCTTAACTCGGCCTTAAGTTCTCCTATAGACAACTTTAGGAGTTCTATTTCAGAAGATAGTTCTGAAACAGAGCTTGAAGGCTGGAGCTTTTCGATAAGTACGTAAGGTGAAGGGAAAGTTTCTGTATGAGCAGAGGGTACTGAATTTTTGGGAGTAGTGCTAATACTAGCTGTCAGTGCAGTTTTATCCTCAGTTTCAGCTCGACGCTTACGACATACAAGTGGGTTATGTGGCTCACTATAACCATTTGTAGGGAGTGTGTTGCTTGATGTAGCAATCAGCGACATAAGATTAGTCATCAGATTTACAGGGGATTGAGTTTGTTGCTTTTTACTTTGGTTAACCACAACTATTTGATATGAGAGTTAATAGCTATAGGTATGGAGGTAGTAGAGTACTTGTGCAAGTATTACAACAAGATAAATTTTATGTAACGAATCACGCAAAAATGTAACGCAAACGTTGGACGTACCGCGTTTCGAATCATCAATTCGGTTAATTACGCATACAATTAGTGAGTATAGTTAGTATTTTAATTAATTGAATTTGCACATTTAAATTACATGATTCACGGTCAAATAACATGGTTGCTGTCATTTCATTTTCACTTTGTGGGAAAAATCTGATAACTAGTGATTCAAAGGACCACATCAAGATATAAAGAGATATTGGCTTCGCATTAACAAAAATACCCAAGTATGCGTTGGATGGATTACAGATACTTGGGAATATAAATAAAGCTTGAAGTCAATTCCCTCATATAACAATAAAATGCGTCTTATAACAATATTTTCTCACTTAATGCACATGAGGGACTCCAGTTGACAGGCATCATCAATATGACAATAATGCACACATGGAATAGACATGTTCAAAATTTTTCACTAACGCAAGACATATATACAAGGGAAGATATTGGAATATTGACCGTTAGTACACTCTGCATAAGTTAAAACAGTTTATATGGCATAATCCTGGGCAACATTATGGTTTCAATTTGTTGAAAATGAGCGAGACAACTGAGTATTGCATTACATTCGGTCGATATGGTGGGTTACTCACCAGAGTATAAGAATGGCTTATAAAACTTTAGTTATTTTACCGTAAACGACATCTTAAGCAATATGATCTGCAAGAGGCTCACCACAGCAGTTAGTATCCAGTTGAACATGCAGAGAAATATTATTAATTGAGCGACTAGTGAATTTTTGATACTTTTCTGCCTGGAACCAGAGTAACTGCGAGCCAATCCATGCGAAAATGTCGAAAGAGGCATGCAGGTGCACATAGAATGAATTAGTGGGTTCTGAAATGCAGCTGTCAGCATATTTTCGTTATTCCATAGATATCCAGGTTTATTGGCATATTCAGATTCAGTTGATAAGGATAGAAGGCTCTGGTGGCCTGTGTTGATCCTCGCAGAATATATCTCTGCAGAGATCTAACTTGTCTTTGAAAGCGTTCACCGATGGAGCTGTTACTACTGAATCAGGTAAGGAGCTCCAGTCGTTGACCACTCGGTGAGAGAATCTAAATTCTGCACGTATTTTGATCATCCTCGGTTTGAGCACCTTTTTGCGGTAACCCGTAAATGTATCCTAGAAGGAGAGAAAAGTTTAGAAAGGTCAGTTTCTAAATCACCCTCAAGTATACGGTATGCTAAAATTAAGTCGTCTCTCTTCCTTCGGTATGATAACGGAAAGAGATTTAAATGCTCCATCCTCTTATCATAAGGAAGGTATGAGACACCACTAACTAATCTCGTTCCTACTCCCTGTACTCTTTCCAGGATATGTGCCTCCTTTTTGAAGCATGGACACGCCGCTTGTACGCAGCATTCTAGATGAGGCCTGACATATGTTGCGTAGAGTATTTGGAACATGCCCTTGTCTAATCGTTTGAAAGCCCTTCGAAGTGCCTATAGCATTCGAAAAGCCTAAGCTGCGGCTGCATTGCAATTTGCAGTTGTTTTCAAATCATTGCTGACAGTGATTCCTAGGTCCTTCTGTTTGTTAACATCAGGTAGTTCTGTGTCCCCTAGGGAGTCCGACGTATAAGACTTCTGACCTAAGTGCATTACCGCGCTTTTCCTAGAATTCATTTCCAGACTCCACAGGTTCGACCACTCAGCTAATTTATCTAGATCAGTTTGCAGGGCCGACCTATCCTTGTTATCATTTAAAGTTTTCCATATCTTAATGTCGTCTTCAAATAACAATGAAGATGAAGTAAGAATCCCCGGTAGCTCATTAACATATAATAGGAATATCAAGGGGCCTAATACAGTTCCATGAGGCACTCCACTGAATACTGCTTTCCACCCTGATAGTACACCGTTAACTCCAACCTTCTGCCTTCTATCCATTAGGTAATCCCTAAACCACTCACATAGGCATTGCTCTAGTCCGAAACCTTTAAGTTTACTTAGGAGACCTAGGTGGGATACTTTGTCGAATGCCTTGCTAAGATCAATAAAAACCACGTCCAACAGAAGGCTTTTATCTCTGGCCTTGACCCAATCTTCCCTAGCTAACAGTAAGTTTGTCAAACAGGATCGTCCTGGTCGGAATCCATGCTGTTCAACTGCCAGTAAGCCATGTGTTTCAACATAAGCTAATAGCTGATCCCTTATAATAGTTTCCATTATCTTTGCTATAATGCATGTCAGACTTACCGGTCTGTAGTTAGATGCCAATTGCCTGTCCACCTCTTTTAAGATAGGGCTTATAATGGCATCCTTCCAGTCCCTGGGTGGCTTAGCCTGGGTCAGCAACATTTGGAAAATCTCCGCAAGCGGAATATATATTATATCCGCCAAGGAAATTAACAGCTTAGGGTGAAGACCATCTGGCCCAGGTGATTTACCTGGCTTCAGTTTAGACAGTAGTTTGATGGCTTTTGTGTGCTCTACCACAATTGAGGGCATCTGAGTGGCGATGGCAGTAACTTCGCCATATCCCTGGGTTGTACTGTCAGACGGGAAGACGTCACAGAAGTATTCAGAAAGGTTTTCAGCCTTTCCTTTGTCTGACTCAACCGCTCTTCCACTAATGCTTATGAGTGACGGTATACCATTACTAGTTTTAGTCATACGAGAAGAACCTTTTTGGGTAATGAACACAAACTGGTACAAGCCGTCTCCCGTATTCTATACGATTCTTGTTAATTGCATACTAACCACATTTGTAATTTTTCGGTAGTCTTTCTGGAAACTTTGCCTTCCTGTCATAATAAATTGGTCCCATAAGTTCTTCCGCCGTCTTAATGGCCTCCTTATTTCACTAGTAATCCAAGGTGGCTTGTGCGATAGCTTTCGAGGAGTGTACCAAGGTATAAAGGGTGAAGTGACACAATCTAGTGTATTCCTAAATCCTACCCAAGCTTCCTCGACAGTCCGGCTTGTATCTAATGACCAGTCAACTGCAGTTGCTGCGTTCCGGATTCCTTGTTCATCCGCTTTCCAAATGTTTGGACGAGCAGCTTTTGACCTGTGTATGAGAGAATGAATCTTAAACGTAAGAGCGATAACTATGTGGTCACTGCTGCCAAGCGGCGGAAGGCACCTAATGTCACCAACGTCCTCCTTCTGGTGTCTTAATACCAAGTCTAGAGTAGATGGATCATGTTCCGGGTGATACCGTGTTGGTGCATGCATATGTTGCACGAGTGCACATTCAAGTACTGTCAATGTGAACTCCCTATTGAAACAGGTATACAAACTAGTGGAGTTTAATTCCCCCCAGTTAATGTGTGGAGCATTAAAGTCGCCAACAACCAGACACCTATTTCTACTACCCTACGCCCTCAAGTGATTAGGAACGAAGTCATCAGCTTGGCTAGCAGGACTTCTGTAAATAACTTCGATCGTTAAAGTGCCTTTGTTCAAGTTAGTGACGCTACTTGCGGCTCCACTGGTGCCAATGTCATGAGCTTCTTACAACGTTGACCCAATCCTTATGTCATCGCGGATGTATAGATCAACCCCCTCACCTTTCCGACTACTTACTCTATCTGCTCGAATTCAGATATACCCAGGTATGAGTGGAGTCAAGTCTACACCCACTAACAACCATGTCTCAGTGATAGCAATTACATCAGTTTGTAGTCTTTTAGGTAATTCTCCTAATTCGACGAGCTTATTCCTAAGACTACATGCGTTTGTAAAGCACACCGAAACACCTACGTGTTCATCCGGCTTATGAAGAGAGGTCTCGGCAGCATCAATTTCCGAGACCTCACCACCCGAAAACCCAATACCTTGAGGTCCTTTTCACCTTTCTCTAGCCTGGCCTTTAGTTCAGCCACGGCTTCTCTTCTTTTGATTCTATCTTCTAAAGGCCAATTAGGCCCTATTTTTAAATTTTTATCGTTAATTTTGAACGCGTTGTTGAGGATGGTGCTTCTCTCTGTTTCGTTCCCTAAACTATCTTAAGTAGTCGTCGAGAAGTTTCCGTGGCATCAGGGTTTCGTTTTCTGATCCTGATGGCTTTTCTTACGTGAACTTCACTTGTTTTTCGGGAAGTATTTTCCGGATTATGGAGCTAACCGCTTTCAGATCATTGCATGTCGGGCAGCTGCATCTGTGTTCTTAGATTCATCCAAATTCCAGATGATAACACTGTAGCAAGAGTTCGTGGGTTTCTGAGTTTGGCTGGTATTAACAGCCACCGATACCTTGTGGGTGAACTCGGCTGCTGTTTCTTCCCTACGTTTATTTTGCTTCTTACCTGTCGGCACCAACCAAGTGCAGTCAGTTTCTTCCACTTTGTTTTCGCCGCGACTAGAGGCCATTCGTGCACTAGACATGCTGCGCTTTGGGGTGGCCATTTCACAGGCTGGTGTTGCCATGCTGGCACTACTTGCCATTTTAGATTTCCTTTGTCGTTTGCGCTTTGCCGCAACAGATATTTGGGCACCTTCATTTTTCAAATTATGTCCTGAACCACCATTTTTGGCTAGGATTTCTGGTACAGGCTTTTTGATTACGTTTTCCGTCAATTTCTTGGACATAGGGAGTCCCACTGCCTCTTGAATGAGGACATCCAGCAGGTTACTGCAAAATTTGCACAGCCACGGAGATGGTTGCTTGCAACTTTTGCAGGTAACTACCTTAAGCCCACAGTCCAGTTACTCAATATAGACCCTGCTACTAATGTGGCACAAACTCCATCTCCACACACACCAAACTTAATTAGCACTATTGAATTTAACTATACTAACATTAAACAAACTATAAGAACCCTAAAATGCTCAAAAGGTTTCGGTACTGACGGCATATCATCCTATTTTTATAAATATGGTGGCCCTGACATTCCCTTACTCCTGCTTAAAATATTCACAATTTCCTTAGAAACCCAAACTTACCCTGATGTATGGAAAACAACGTTTATTATGCCTAAACACAAATCTGGCTCGAAAACAGACGTTAGTAACTACAGGCCAATTAATATCACACCTATAGCTTCTAGAATTATGGAGAGACTAGTTAAAGAAAACCTAATGAAGCATATGCTTAGTTGCAATATTATAAGTCCGAACCAACATGGATTCCTAAACTCCAGATCTTGTTTAACATGCCACTTAGACTTCTTTAACTTTGTGACCAGCAGTCGTGACAGACGACAACTAGTACTTGTCATCTACTTTGACATCTCAAAGGCATTTGACCGTGTCGACCACTTACTACTAGTGCACAAGCTGAAATCCTTAGGAATAAGTGACCCGCTATTAGGATGGCTTAAATCATTCCTTAACAATAGGTCCCAAATAGTTAAACTCGGATCTATAACTTCGAAACCTAGCCAAATCACCTCTGGTGTAGTACAAGGTAGTGTCATTGGACCCCTTCTATTTACCCTATATATTAACGACATATGCGCTTGCTTTACTCATGGTAAACCATTCATCTTTGCAGATGACCTCAAAGTAGCTTATACATTCCAACCTGATGACCTAGGGTACTTCCAGAATGTTGTACAAAAAGAACTAGATAAAGTGACTGCTTGGTCGTCTTTATGGAACCTCCAATTTAACCTTAAAAAATGTGGCTGGATCTGCTTCGGTGCACCCTCAATCGACATAAAGTAAACGCTTCAATCGGCTAACCTAACCAAACTCCAAAGTGTCGTTGACCTAGGTCTGAGGTACTCGAGTAACCTAACATTCTCTGAGCAAGTGGCATCACAGACTCAAAAGTCGAGAATGCTCTTAGGATGCATACTCAGGAACTTTCACGACAATGAAGCAAAGCTCATTCTGTACAAAACCTGTGTGAGGCCACTACTAGAATACTGTCCATTTATTATTAGCAGCACTCACACACGTGAAAAGCTAAGAATTGAAAGTATCCAACGATATTTTACCTCGAAACTACTAGGCTACGAATGTAAGAAAGACTACATTTCACGGTGCATGATTCTACAACTTGATCCACTCTGGACAAGACGACTAATTATAAACCTAGTATTCTTCTATAAGGTCCTACACAAAATATCATTCTCAGACATTAAGGACATACAATTCGCGCAAGAAGGCTCTTAAGATCTGCGTAACCAAAATTGCACAGCGACAATAAAAGCCTTTAAGTCAACACTCCGCGAAAACTTCTTCACAGTCATGTATTCAAAAATATGGAACAATCTGCCCCTAGATATCAGGAACTGCAATACAGTTTTAAGTTTCAAACGCTCTCTGTACACACTATTTCACTCTACCGACTATATAAATAAACTATTTATTCCTAGAACGAATCAACTATTAGTCTACTACAGTACCTAAACGCGCTTGAATACCCTTACTTCCCTAAAGACTATAAATAAACTAGTAGCATAAATGCATAAAAAGACTATTTCACTCTACCGACTATATAAATAAACTATTTATCCCTAGAACGAATCAACTATTAGTCTACTACAGTACCTAAACGCGCTTAAATACCCTTACTTCTCTAAAGACTATAAATAAACTAGTAGCATAAATGCATAAAAAGACTATTTCACTCTACCGACTATATAAATAAACTACTTATTCCTAGAACGAATCAACTATTAGTCTACTACAGTACCTAAACGCGCTTAAATACCCTTACTTCCCTAAAGACTATAAATAAACTAGTAGCATAAATGCATAAAAAGACATAGTAGAAACAAATTTTTGTTCATCAAATTACAATGTACAACGAATATAAACAAACTTTTTTGACACCACATAGTTTTTCTTTGTCCTCTGGTACATTTCTGTTGTATTTACTTTGTAGTACAAGTTGCATTGATCTACATTCCGACTGAAGCTGAGAAACAATTGAAGTCACTTACTCATATATTATCCCTCAAGGTTTGGCTAGTAATGGCTCAGCATCCTTGATGAAATCCACTGTCACCATAACTAGACGCTGTACAGCATCTTATACAAGCACTGTCAACGATCTAAAATGGTTTTTATATGGCTTTCTACGCGTTTATCAACTTACTCGTACGGAGCAACCATGCTGTGACAAATGGCGGGCTATGGGTGACTTGAGTGCAGTAAAACAAGTCTGCTTGACAATGACCAATATTAATCTACATTCAGTTGAATTCACATCTGGTATTACTTGCAAAAATATGATGTCAAAATCATAAAAATTAATCACTCATTTTGAATTAATACACAATTTGAACATAAAACAAGATACGATGCCGCACACAACAAAGTTATATGGAGGAATTGACTTCAAGCTTTTTTTTCCCAAATATTTGTAATTTATCCGACACGTACTTGGGTTTTTTTGTTAATGCGAAGACAATATTTCTATATTTCTTTATGTGCTCCATTGAACGACTAACTATCAGAATGTGCTCACTAACTGATGTCAGAGAGGACAGCAACCATGTAATTTCACTATAAATCAAATTCATGTAATTTAAATAATACTTATCCATGCCTGTACAACTGGTGTGTCCTACATTGATAGGAAATATATATTATTATTATTATCCTAACATCTCTTATAGGCTACTGGTGATAAACCATTGCAAACCTTGTGGAACCATGGGCTGCAGTTGTCACACTACATACCGTCATCCACCGGAAAGTGGCAGTCTGGTCGTCCACAATTGTTATTCGGACCCATAGCGCTGATTTGTTTCAAAAACACAAATATATGTACGTGAAAACAGTGAGGTAAATACCAACCAAATACACAAATATGTGTACGTGAATAAAGCGAGACATATACCATAAACAAAACACAAACTGTGAATAATATGAACACCACTTCAACTAAATAAACCAGTTAAAGTGAACTGAAAAGCTTGTGATGTGGTTTAAATTACAAAAGCAGAATTTACTTCACAACGTAAAAATGGCGCCGTATAGGTAGTGATTTGGATTTGTCATGATGATCTTAATATGGTTGAATATTCAAATATGTACTACAACTTGTTTACCTTTCGGATTTAGTTAATTACATCTCGTGTCGGCTTTGATTACTCTTTGATTTTCACATATTCCTCAGTGTCGCCGTGATGACGGGAAATATGCATATGCTTTAAGTGCATTGCTTTGTTGGCTGTTACCTTTAATGAGTGTATACAACGGGAACTGTGGATTTATGTATTTCCTCACCACTGTTGGTAAAAGATCACCGCATTCATTTTGGAAAGGAGACGCTATGGCGCGAACTTTGAAAAAGGAGTGAATTTTACACGCACTTGTTTAGTTTTGGCAAATGTTGTGTTATACTCTCCAAAGGTGTCCACAAACTAGCTTTAAATCAGTTTATTCTGATCGAAGTTAGTTTACTTTTCAGATTTGAGTCCATTTAAATTATAAGAAGTCGTGCCTTATAACCTAATAGTTATATATATATTTATTTTTGTGCATTCATCGGCTTTTTTTCACTGATTTATAAAGGTTATATACATTTAAAGTCACATTTAAATTTCTTCCCCGGTTCGCTCTAGACAGCATGCCCATCAAAAGAAACCACTGCGGAAGGGTTATGTGCCAATTCCCAGTGGATGAGGGAATGCAGTGTGATAACTGCAAGAGATGGTTTCATAGTATGTGCACAAACCTAACTCCTGCAGCATACAGACGCTGCTGCAAACCTCTAACAAACTGGTTGTGCAATGACTGTTGTAGTACTACTAAATTCCGTGTTACAGAAGCCATTGCCACTCTCAGTGGGGCTTTAAAGCTGATGGACTGCGAGTGTCCTCTACCACAGGAGAACACCGACTATTGCTCAGACAACGATGATGTGACTAGCGTCATCGGCAAAACAGCATGTGTCCCCGATGCGTCTGTCAATAAGTGAGTGCCCTTCAGCACAGAAGAGCACCCACCACATTCCAGACACACAGGTTTCCCCACACGATAGTGGATAAGCCCTCCAGTGACAGTAATGGAAGGACTGCCAAAAAGAAGAAGCGTACCAGGGGTCGAAAAACTGCAGCTCAAGTCGCCCAGGGACTAGTGGATCAAGCCTCATCCACACCGGTGAGTAGCAGGCTGATAAATCCTACTGCGATTAGCGGGGAGAGCGCCAATGAATGGCGTAACGTAGTCTCTCGCAAAAAGCGAGATAAGGATAATACATTGGCTACACCACCTACGAAGGACAGAAACACACTTACGCCTCAGAACAAGAAAGCCACAGCAGGCAAATTTCATCTATCTGACAGGTCGCTCATTCTCCACAAAGTGGAAGAGTCACTGGCACCCGATCCCAAGACTAGATTCGAGCATGACATTAATTTGGTAAGGCCCCTTTTAGACAAGCTGCTGCCACAAACAGCATCAGGCATTACTATACGCAGAGTATATAGAATAGGCTAAAAGCCTGACCCTACAGTAAGTCAGCCTGCACGTCTCCTCAAAGTCGTACTAAACTCGAAAGA